CTAAAGGCAGTTAATGCATTAGTTACTCTAGATGGAAATCCTATATTCCTCAAGTTTCTATCAATAAAAAACTTAAATTGGATTTCATTCTAAGAGCGAGCTTACACCTTTGACTAAATTGTCGTCACAACTGTTGTGCGATTGTCGATTGTTTTGTAGCAAATTCAATTATTTAGTTGCACAACTAAAAATCGAGTAGTGTGCGCCATATAATCGCATAGGAATCAAAGCGAGACAATAGTTGTGCGATAGTTTAGTCAAAGGTCCAGCTAAGTAGAACTACAATTTCTCAGTCGGCATTGAGTCCGGCCTCGTATAACGCATTTTAACTGAATGTTTGTGTATTTATTATTCAAATTCGCTCCGGCCTCATGGAGGTCCGGACACGATGACATCATTTGGAATATATTAGGAAAACGTTGGCTACAAGAATTCTTATTTGCGATTGTTCGCGAAATATTAAATTACTACAACAAGTACGCAGTACCAAGGACTATTTTTACAATCGAGTTGTTAGTGTTTCTTGTTTTGACGAAAGATAGAACTATTAAGATCGAAATGCGCCGACTGTTTTTTTTCATATATAACCAGCTTCAATAGCTAACAAACATCCATCCATCCATCTAAACTTTCGCATTTATAATATTAGTAAGATAAAAGAGGGCTAACGAGCGGCAAGAACATCGAGGTGGTCAACGACGCCCATGGACATCCAGACACCAGAGGAACTGCAGATGCGTTGCCGGCCTTTGAGGAAATGATAAGCTCGCTTTATGAAGGACCCTAAGTCCTATTGGTTTCGAAATAGTAGTAAGTAGAATAAGGACAGATTATTCAACAATAAATGAATTATTAAATAAAAGTGTATGTGTTTAATAATAAGTAAATCTTTTCTCGATTAACGTTATAATTGAAGATGACTTCATGTTGAATCTATGAGGTAATTGTATGACGTCACTAGTTGAAGGTCACAAAACAAGGTCACAAATTCTTATGAATTCAATTAAATTTCTAAATCATCGTGAGTAATGTTTAATTCTTAAGACTTGGTATTTTTTTAATATTAATTTTCATATCTAGTAAAATATTTACCACGATAAGTTAAATTGGCAAAGAATTTATGTGACGAATATCAAATATTGACTTGAAACTTCATTCAAATATTGGTTGCAGAATATTATTTTTGTTCTAAAAAATGTTTCAGTAAAACCTTAAATTAAGCAAAGAAAAATATTTACAAAACTATAAAAATCTCTGGAAATCTCCACCATAGATATGAAATATACCATGGGTGGCATAAATGGCACAATATTTTTGGTACGTTACCATAAAAACACTAAGAAAAATTACGAAGTAGGTCCATGGAATTGACGTTAAAATGGCAGTCGAAATTATTCAACGGCGATTTAAACAATTCTTAAAAAAAGCACTTTGATAAATCACCACCCCTGCTCCACCATAAACAATTAAAAAAATAAAAAAAACTTACCAATGTAACAATATCTCCAGGATTCGCTGCAGCTATCCTTCTCAATCTCTCATACAGCAAATCCAGCAATCTTTGATGCTTAGCATTCAGCTCGTCCAGCTCTCTAGCGACCGCGTCAGCGCCAGTCAGTTCCCCAGCACCGCGCCCGCAGCGCTGCAGCCGCTGGGAGAGCTCCGCATCCCCTTGCTTCTTCAACTGACGCACATCCAGCGAAGGATGGACCTCCTCGCATAACCACTCCGTGTACCGCTGGCAGCGGGAACCGTGGATCTATGTTCGTTGGTTAGTTAATACTGACCGTTCTTAAAAAACCAGTTTAGACATGTGATATTAATTGCATGGAAATAGATGTCTTTTTATGCTGGTTTATTTTTAAAAACAATCAGTTATGTTAGGTTAATTAGATTTAATTTGAAGCTTTTACACGCATACATCCGTTTTCATTCATATTGTATTTCCATTTATAAACTTTGAGTTTAATTTTATTGTATTTCAACTAAAAGAACTAAAGATTTTAAACATTCATCCATCAGTCAATTTTCATACACTTTTCCATACAAATATTCTATCATAAGTTATTTAAAATTCACTAATATATGTAATTTTGTCACTTTCATAACATATTTAAGTCCAGCTAATAGGTAATCCCAGGATAATTTCATGCTGGGAATATGCTACGGGATTCTTTAAGCGTGCAACACCCAATGCGTGCCCGATATATCCACGAATGCCAATTTATAACGTAATTCTACGAAAAAGAATTGTTTTTTAATTTTTTCCAAAAAAAATGCAACATTTTTTTGTGCTGACAACACACAAGTGCATGCAAAGCAAAACAGAAAAAAAACTCTTGTATATTTTCGAAAAGGCGTTGACAAAATTTGAATTTAAAATCTTTATGGATGACGGTATCATATCGTAATTACAAAAATAACAATTTAGTCACATTTAAACGCAGCAGTAATAAATTGCTGTTTTTTAATGATAGAAATGATTCGCACAATCATACAAACTCATTCACTATTTTATATTAGTTCAAACCGTTAAGCATTATTAAGCAAAAGCGGCGGTAAAAAGCGTTATTTTAGCTAACATATGTTATTTCCAAGCATTACTGGCTGTTGCGTTCGCAAGTGCATAAAAAATACGAAACAGAACCTCCGCTATAAAAAGAGACCTTGTTGAAGACCAAAGACAAACACGAGCAAACCCGGGAGATGTGCAAAGGAAAAACGCTGGACCGACATTTACAAAACCTTTCATAACCTCAAAAAATCAACAAAAAGTGACCATAGACAATAATTTGAAACAAAATGGCGTCATGACGAATGAAATAAATGATTTTTCGATAGTAATTTTTTCAATTAAACGCCATACAAGTTTATTTTCTAAAATAATCACCTTTGCTTCGCGGATAAATCGTCCTCCATCGACATTCACTTTCTCTATCTTTGGTGTCCTTTCTACGACACTTGTAAGTAGAGCCTGCAAAGAAATTTAATATTAAAACATTGAAAGTATCATACTAATATTATAAAGAGGAAAGATTTGTATTTTTTACATGTATTGAAATAACTCAAAAACTACTGGGCCGATTTCAAAATTTTTTTTACCAATAATCTACATTATCAATGAATAACATAAGCTATATTTACTATTTTAATTCCACGCGGACAGAGTCGCTAGTAAAAGCTAGTCTATCTGTACTGTATTTTAAAGAGAAAAGATTTGTATTTTTATATGTATTGAAATAACTCAAAAACTACTGGGCCGATATAAAAAAAATCTTTTACGAATAAGCCACATTATCACTGAATAACATAGGCTATATTTAGTTTTTAATTGTACACGGACTGTGTCGCGAGTAAGAGATACATACCCTGGTGGTCTCGAGGTGTTCCTTAGGGCGGTGCTCGAGCGGCGGCTGCGCCTGCAGGCGGGCGGCCGCGCCGTCCACCCAGTCCACCTCCTGCTGCACACCCACGCTGTAGCTCCGCACCAGCTGGTATGCAGCCTCGCAGCTGCGCAGTCTGCAAATAATATTTTATTGTACGAAACTGTGTCATTTAGACGCTTTTTCAACAACGACTAACTGCCCTATTTGATTCTCAACCTTTTTTTGTTGCGGCACATATTGAACGATTTCAAAATTTGGCACACAAAGAAGATAAAAATTATTTACTTACTACAACATAGTTCATAAATAATTTATGACAATATGCAAAATTTGGTGGCCCGGTGGTTGAGAATCTGGATTAATACGTAATGATAGTCCCTTGTGGCTATCGCTAAGTGAAAAAGGGACTTAACCGCAAAGAAATACTCGAAAACGCGTTTCGTTATTTTTATATTTAAACAAGTTTATTATTCCTGTTCCACCCTCTAGTCCTAGCCTAGGCTAGATCATCGCCTGGCGACGCTAGTGGCATACATTCGTTCACCAACTTTCATTCATAGGTTTTGTTTATTACTCCAAACTTGTAACCTCATATGTTATGAGGTGTAAGTCACGATGCACCTCACGACCTCACATAACTAACCTCTCGGCCAGCTGCTGGCAGACATTGTTCCAGCGCGTGTTGATGTGCTCCAGCTCCTTGTCCAGGCGCTCCAGGTCCGCGTGCTTGCGCGGCAGCGAGGCGTGCAGGCCAGCGCGCGAGGTCTCCACCAGCCGGCGGCAGGTCTCCCCGTCGTCGTTCATCTGGTCCACCTGCACCTGCTGCTTGCTCACCGCCACCTGCAGGCGCAGCAGGTCTTCGTGCATCTGCAATATTAAATACATTAAGTAAAAACTACCTTGATATTTCAATCTTAAAGCTTGTTCGTCTATACATATATCTATACTTCTATCATCATCATCAACTTGCCCATCATATCTATAGTTCTATATCTATACTTTTTTTATTTTTGTATGTATTGATCTATTAAGCCGATTTCAAAAAATCTTTCATTAAAAAGCTACGTTATCAGTGACTACAATTGTTTATTGTTTTTTAATTACACGTGGACGAAGTCACGTGCAAGAACTAGTACTAATATAAAGAGGTCAGATTTATATTTTTTATTTTAAAAATTCTTTGACCTTTGATTGAAATTTGACCTTGAAATTTTGATTTGAATATTTTAAAAAGCTACGTTATCGCTGAATGACAAAAGTTTTTTTTTGCACTTTTTTATTTCACGTGGACGAAGTCGCGAAAAACAGTTAGTGTACTTACGTCTTTCAACATTTCCACATCATTAGGCAGGTCGTGGAACTGCGCCAGTTTGATCTCGAACTCCGATATGGTCTGGTTGTTCTCCTCTATGCTGTTCACTATTATCTCCACAAACTTTAACCTGCAAATAAAATACATTTTTAAATAAATTTATCCTAATTTGCTTTAAAGATACTAATGTTAACCGTTAAGTTAAAAGTTACCTTTCGACGAACAGCTGGCTCTTAGATTGCATATCAGTCCATTTGCCCATAACCTTATCCAGGCTCTTCTTCATAGCCGGGGTCTTGAGGGCGATACCTGACACAAGCAAAATAATTACTAAATATAGAGGTTTTATGATCAAGAAGAGAGTGATGACTGAGATGAGGGATGACAGAGTTATTTGGAGGACGAAAAGCCTTTATGATTTATTTAAAAACAAATAGACTGAAGGTATACTTCTGAAGGTATTCTGGACTTCTTCCACATCGCTGGCGAGTCCGTGCAGCCCTGTCTCCCAGTCTTTGTGCTGCAGCACGAGGTGCTCCAGGCTGTCCAGGTCTCGTGGGATGTGGCTTGCGATGCGCTCGTGCAGCTGCCGTTCGAACACCTCCAGGCGTTCCAGTAGACTGCTGGATTGTTCGGTGAATATACGAGCTGCATTCTTCGATTCCTCTGGAAAAAGGATGAAGAATTGTCAAATGTTAAATATTCATTGCTAATTTCAAAAATAGTTAATTTTTATTCTAGCAGTAAAACCCCGCGATATTATACCAAATACGTTCTTCACTCTACGTTAACTTAACGACAACAGTATCTTTTGGTTTAGAATTTTATTTACATTTCTTGCAATACTTTGATTTGAAAATTATATAAGCGTATTTTAAAAGCGTTTAATTCATTCTATTATTTTAAGATAAACAGGTATGTTTGTTATTAAAATTTATCTAAACCATAATTTTAACCAATCGATACTAGACTATCACGTAACAAAACGCGTAATTTGCTTTTTATTCACTACTCCACTTTTATTCACATAATTTCAACAAAAAACAAACTAAAATCAAAACAAAATACACCGGTATTCGATCACATAACCTTAAAAACCACAGACTATAAATTTGCAAAACATCCACCTGACAGGCGCACTTCCTCCCAACACCGTTCGATAATTCTCTTCCGGTACACGAGTATTGAATTTCTAGGCATTAGATATATTTAACCAACACGCTCCACATGCAATCAGATAACGACTGACTTAGATTCTAGATGTCACAGACTAATTTTATTCAATAGACTTTGACTTTGCTACTGCATGAAATCTATGACGCTAGTCTGTAAAAAGTTGCGAAAAACTAGGACGATAGCCCCGCACCAAGTGACATTGACATTGTCCGATTTATACAGAAACTAATTGAGGAAGACTGTATAAAGCAAACAGACAGATCGATTTATAGCAAAATTAAATTGATTATTGAATAACTAGGTTTCGCCCGCGACTCCGATCGCGTGGAATTAAAAAATCAAAGTAGCCTGTGTTATTCCAGACTATCCTCTATATCTACGCCAAATTTTATTGATCTTCGTTCAGCAGTTTAGGCTACAAACTCTAACAAACATTCATCCATTTAAACTTTCGCATTTATAATATTAGTATGATTTAGTAAGTAAATATTTCAACTAGTTAATGTAATAAAAACAACATTAACTTAATTTTAACAAAAGAATTGTATATTTCTACATAAACAATGCTAATATTTATAGTAATTTTTCACATTAGTAACCTACATTTTCTCGCAATGCAAGGAGACTCTAACATTACATAACAGAGGCAAAATCAATAGGCAAGTTTGCCAACTGACTTTTTTCAGTCTGTGGCTAGCCACCCACTCTAGTTGGTTTGGAAATTGCAACAATAACTGACCAATCTACGCCTCAGACCGAGGTCAATATAGAGCGGTTGCTTAAAAAATTGACATGACATCATAGTTGAGCCGTAAATTTAATTATTTGAACGTTTATAAATTACTAAGGCTTCAGAACAACAGTATTTATAATAGATTCTTTAATATATTAGTACTCGTTTGAAATTTGCTGGGAACATTGTGGACTCGGCGAACATCTTACCAACTCAGTCACTATTTGCAGATATTTCGGCAACACTTTCAGGTTTCAGATGAAAAAAAGAGCAGAGCTACATAAATAAATAAGGTATATACTATATCTTACTAATATAATAAATGCGACTTTTTGTATTTATGTTTGTTGCCATATAGCGCCAGAACGATTGTAAAAATGTTGAAGAAATTTGGAACAGCTATAGCTTACAATCAGAAATAACAGACTTGTTGATCTCAGTGGGTTCGTTTACAAAGGATTCAAGAACCCGGGCATGGATTTTCCCGCTTGCGGTTCGATTTAGTACCTCTATACCCATCACTAGTTTGGAATGTCGAAAAGAATTCTTGAAAATGAATATAGAATGAAAATTTACCCAGAAGCAAACGAAGTCGTGATCAACAACCAGGTATTACATAAGTTGCTAATGGCAGCACAGCGCGGTTTGCGGTTTATACAACTAAATACAACTTGGTATGGCGAAGATAGACTGACATAAACAATGATGCGAATTCCATTGTGTTGATTTATGAATACAGAATGTTTGTACATATTTCAATCTCGTGTGAAAAGAATATTTGACGTTTTCGATCGATTTTGTTTCGACAGGCGATTGATTTACGATACTGCTTTTAACTCGGCGTTACTCCGATATCTTGAAGCATCTCAATATTTAAAAAAAAAACATGAAAATTCACCTCAGTATTTTTTATATAAGGTGGCAAACGAGCAAGCCACCTGAATCCACCGAAATGGAAAGCGACCGCTGCCCATAAACATCAATTACAGATGCGTTGCCTGCCCTTAATTGACGGAGGAGGAGACGCACATAAACTGGACAGTATGTCTGCACAAATCTCTAATTGTAACTTTTTAAAACATTATCTTTCTCTATGTGGAATCGATCAGTTCATTAATTATTCCTTTTTGACTAACTTCCAAAAGAAGGAGGTACTCTATTCGTCTGTTTCTTATGTGTGTTACGGCATAACTCCGCCCATCGTAGACCGATTTTGAAAATACTTTTTTTATCTGAAAGGTAGTACTTGCAGCTGGGTCCCATTTATGTATTTAAATTTGGAGTCAAACTACAGAGAAGAAAAATAGTTAAGCTCAAAATTGTGTGACGAAAATTGGAACTTTAATTGTTAGCAACAAAGTAGCACATCACATCGAGAGATTTAAAGTCAATACCAGGCAGATATTCATGTATTCAATAAAGGAGGTCCCATTACGCCCAGTGGCCATTGTAGTACTGATTTAAGCGCCGAAGACGCCTGCACACATAATTGATGACGTCATATCTGACCTAATAGACACCAAAATAGATTTAAGGGACAGGGAATTTAGTAATCAAGCCTAGTGTAGGTGTAGAGTTAGGGAACGTTAGTATTATTTTTATTTAATAACAAGCCTAACTCAGCCTTTAAGTAGTCTCCCTTAGTGTAGATTTAAGTAGAAATCTGCACTAAAGGATTTCGACAAGGTGAGTGCTTTAATTAGTTTATAATTATAATTTACAATAGTCTAAGGTCCGTCGTACATAAGATGCTATGCGATACAAGTAAAGCAACACGCAAGCTCTCCATAACAATATGAGTCGTCGACTCAAGTCGTCTATTCAGTCACTAAATGTACATCGCATACGAATTTACCAAATTTTAACTCTACTATTTTGAAAATTGCGGCAACTTATGTATTTGTAGCGACCATCTTGACAAACAGTTAGCGATAGGAGATGGCGAGAACACAATGTTTGACTCGTTACTGTGTTGGAACCTCTATGAAAATGTAAGTCGCTTAGCGATATATCGAATATTTATGTTGGTTTGTGTACGAAGGGCCTAACTTTGTCTATATGTTAGTAATCAGAGTATTTAGATTTATTGCAAAGATAATGAACTTCACTACTCAAATGTACATGTATGTATGTGCATCACTTATCACAAGCACCACAATTAACGTTTATTGCGAGGTTAAATGTCAAATACAAATATAGAGACAGACAGATGAGAAGTTAATGTTTTTAGTACTAACAGAAACTATTGTATTCTTAGTTTATAATTAATTAATTTAGTAAATGATGATGCTAGCCTTGTTAAGACTAAAGAGGATATGCTTAAGAAAGGAGTGGATTCAGATATGACGGCTGATAGAAATGTATGGAAGAGCACTTACTGTGCCGACCCCCCGTAAGGGATAAGTCCAAGTTGATGTTGATAACGAAAATCGCATTTAAAAAAAAATCTGTCTGTCTGCAAGCCGCGTTTATTTTCGGATGATCTCCGAAACGGCAGAGCCGATTTCGACAGGACATATAGGCTACTTTTTTAAATTCAGGCTGTCAAAACGTAACGGGTGGTCCAAATTTGCGCTAACGAAATTTGTACAGAATAAGTATACAAATGTCCTCACACTGGGGTAATTTCACCATAGTTAAGGTTTATTACAGACTTATAATTTGTCATTAAATTGTACAATACAAAAAAAAAAATCAATTTTTATTAAAAGTGGTATACAAATCCTATTGTTTTATTTATCAACAGGAAGCCATCAAAAAAAAATTCTAACACCGGAAACAAGATTAGTTAACAAAAAAAGATTTTTTTTAAATAAACTTACCACCTTTCCCGAAGGAAAATATTCGTTTTATCTTCTTCATAGCTGTCAAATTGAATACAGCTTTATTTCAAACACACTAAGGTTCAATATTGACTACACTCAGATAGTTTGTTTACATTGTGTATACAGTATGTTTGCAAAATAAAGATTTTCGCACGAACATTATATGAATTTGTTCTGCCGATACCTAAATATAAGCTTGATATCATTTTAAACTATTTTATATCAACATACAAGTATCATTACAATATCAAATATCTTTAGTTATGAATAGTAAATAAGAAGTAAAATAATAAATTAAAAATATTACATAAGAAAGGGTTTAATTGTTAATGCCCACTAAAGGTTTTAATATTTTAATATGACTCTCAAATTATACCTTTTAATATGTTTGGCAAAATTATAAAAGAAGGCTTAAATATTTGAAAACTAATTTTGCTTAGTATCTATGTTAATTTTAATTACCAAATAAAAATCTTTAATTCATAAAAAGATAAAAGAACTAACATAAATATTCAAATAAGCACTAAATTTTTATAAATCAATTTAACGAAATTAAAAAACATAACAATTTAAATAAAGAACAACATTCAAACGTTCGAATAAAAACTCTTTAGACACGAAACCTTTTTCCGAAATAACGCACTGGCCGCAAAGACGTACGTTACATCTTACCGCCTACGAAAGACTAATTGCGAAGTTCCCGCAGGAGGCAGTCCCTTAAACATTCGTATGGAATTCTCTGACTCAGACAATACAATAAACAATAGATATAAACATATAACAGACGTGATAACATTGGCAGATTATAAATAAACTATCTCGACATTATAACCAAGTTTAGACGTGTTGAATTTCTGTTGCCGAAACAATTCGAAAGAATATTATCTTCGCTATAATATTATTAAAAAAAAAAACTGCAACATCCTTCGATCATACAAAATACAAATCTTTCCTCTATAAAATATTAGTGTAACAAATAGCAACCGTTTCGCATCAAACTGAATTGAATACTTCCTTTGTGAAGTGGGTTATCTTCTTACTAATATTATAAATGCGAAAGTTTAGATGGATGGATGTTTGTCAGAGATTTAGCCTAAACTGCTGAACGGATGTCGATGAAATTTAGCATAGATACAGAGAATGAAAGAGACGAAAAGAGGATATAGTCTTGAAGAATACAAAAGCTCCTTAATTTTTTTTATTCCACACGGATGAAGTTGCCAGCGGAAGCTGGTGAATGAATTTGTCTATTATCTCAAAAACCCCGTTATTTATATCGATATATTAGATAGATTTACAAAACAATTTTAAAAGCATACGTGTGTTTACGAATTAAAAAGCACACAAAATTAAATCGAAGGATAATTACAATTGGAGGTCGCACGACATATGTTCGAGTACACTCATTTTTCAATTACTTCAATAGAAACGAATGTTTTTTTTTAACTTCTTAATTGCATAACAATTTGTTATTACTGGTAGCACGGACTGTGTATATTATAAGAGCGTGCGCACATCTTTGACTAAACTATCGCACAACTGTTTCGTCTCGCTTTGATTCCTATAAGCTTATATGGAGGTTCATTAGTCGATTTTCAGTTGTGCAACTAAACAGTTGAGGCTTCGTAACAAACGACAGTCGCATTTATGCGTTATTTCTAGCTGACATTTTGGACTGGAAAGAGATAGCGAGAAATAGAAAGAGAGACAAAGATATATTTTTAATTTTATACAAAAGTTATCGATTTTTTTACGTAAGATAGAATAGCTATAGGAGATAGAATAACAAACAATATACTATATTGAGAAGATTTTACAATGATTTGCAGTAATCTACACAACAAATCTAGCTGCGATTTCAACTAATGTTTTTTTAATTACTCTGATGTTTAACTCTAATTATTTAAAAGGTTAATTCATTAAAATAAGAAAAGCTGCTTGAAGTAGATTACGGAACGTTTAATACAATCTATACTTTTATAATAAAGCGTAAACACACACTTCTCTGTTGCCTAAGATGTCAGCAATTATAGCATATTTTTGAATAATTCCTTTTTTTAATAAGCCCTACACTTACGTCACGCTTTATGCTATATATTTTCACGCCATTAAACTAAGGGGGTAAATATTTTCGATAAAAACCCTAATGTGGGAAAGAGACTATAAGTTGCTGCCAAAATCAAGAAGCAAGATTGTCTAGGTTTGTCATGTCATTTTGACATTTGCTATTGATAATTTGACAAATGTAAACAATAAAATAAAATTTTCACAAATTCATGCGGGTGAAGCCGCATGGGAACAGCTAGCTTTTTTGTATTTTTAATGTATTTACGTATAAATAACAAAATCTACTAACAGTCGTTTTATCGATTTCATAAGATTTTTGGTTTTAATTTGATTTATAACTAACTAATCGTTATAACAAAAGAAAAACATGAGTTATTATTAAGAGGGTTACCAAATAAGGTATCAATGCCGAATAATTATTTTACATTTTGTAGTCTCTGTCTAGTCAAAATAGATGAAAGTGACAAGAATAATACGCATGTCACTGCACTGGAATTAGAAGATAATGCCTAGTTTACATTATCCCAGGCCAGTAATCAAAACCAGCACTAAATTACAAATGAAAAATATAATCCAGCACAGGAATTCTATATGCTGAATATTCAGTTACAATCCAGCACTGGATTACTGGAATGGAAAGATGTATACAGGGTGCATTTATAAC